CCCGCTTTCCGGAAACTCGGCGCATAGTTGACATTGCGGCCGAGCCACCCCCACCCGGAGCACACTCTCAGTTTGTTACTTATTAATGTCAGTTTAGTTTGAAACAGCAGTTTGAGGCTGGAATGCGAATGCGCTCTGACTTGCTTCATCCCGCTTGCTTTCAGTCTCATCTCCTCCGCTGAGTTCTCTGCGCCCCGATCAACCTTCATGGCTGAGACTGTAATAACGTCCAAATATTTTTCCTAGCTGTCGCAATGGGTCAGTTGCGCTGGTCATGGAATCGTGTTGTGATGCTTGATTCTTGTAAATCAGCTTGGATTTACATTCAATCCAAAAAAGTGAACATTATAGAGAACTTTACTAACTTTTCTCGGAGAAAATATTTTATCGGGAGAAATGAGTCAACGTTGAAATGTTCACGCGGCGTCGAAACACAACATGCACCTCTTAAGCCCCATTATTCGATGCCACGATTATTCCGATGCGAGTTCGAATAATTGCGCCAAACACAGTGCGACCGGCGTCAAACGCATATTAGCGCCTGCAAGGCTGTAAGAATACTTCACGCATTGCGCCAAGCAGTGCGGTCGGCGGACGACGTATTCAGCGCCTACAAGACTGCATGAATACTTCTTGCATTGCACTAAACGCAGTGCAGTCAGTCGGTCGACGTGAAACGCATATTTGACAATAAGGATACTTCACGCATTGCGCGCACAGCACGGTGAACGCTATATTAATCGTTGTACTTTCTTGGTGTCAGCCCCACCGTGCGGTCCTATGCAGTGGACACAGTATCCAACTAGTGTAAAACGCGAGCCTGCAAGCCTCGGAGGCTTGTGATCCAATCAGAGTGTCCCTCCTCTGATATCCTAACAATCTTGTTGTACCTAAAATAGAATTCATAATTCAGGTTTTTCCTTTTTCTTAAATTTCGTAAGAGAATCATATCTATTGACGCATGAATAGAATTACGTAGTCACAGAACCAGCTTACTTGTTTTATACCTCAAAATATTAATGATCAAAATTTAGCTCTGCGATTGGCACGCCTAGCTGCTCCGGGGTAAAAATCTTTGTAGTAGTGACATTAAGAATTTTATTTGAACGACGGAAAAAAAATATTTCTCCGCTGAGATGGGGTGAATACCTAGCAGAGTATTCAACCTTTACAGCCTCATTAAATAAATGCGCGTAATTATAGCAATGCGGTACAAATTGCGCACAGTGTAAAAACGTGACAATCATGATTAACAGGGTTTGGTGGGCGCGCTTGTTTGAATTTTTGGCGTCGGAACTGAGATGCCACATCCCTACTTCAGATTCGCACGATGGATGCAGGTTGTGCAAAAATATTGTTTGGCGAACAGTAGTACTGAGAATTGAGTGACATCAAATCAAGCGAAGTGGCTGATTGTCAAATATATACTATGGTGAAGATGCATTCACCACCCTGTTTTTTTCGACTCCCTATAGTTCCAAAAATGAATGTATTGCTGAATTAGAGTAAAAAATTTTATTTATTTTTCGGTTCAGCAAGTAACTGCTCATACATATTGAAGTCGAAATGATCGATTATCGGTATCTTACCATTTGAAGCTGAGGTAAAGTATCGATTATTAAGGTATTCGTTGCGAGCACCCTGTTTGTCGATCCTTTTCGATAGGTTTAAGTGGAAGATCAATCGATTATTCGAGTCAGTTGAATCTTGAAACGCACTAAAGGAGAATTAATCATCGGTCTCAATAATATTTGATTCCATAATTTTACGTTGATCTCTTAGATCCACTGTTGGAAAGAATTTTTATTTACAAAAATTTCAGCTTATTCAATATATCTCTTCTCCCTTCCTTTCTTGCCCGTTGTGGGCAAACGTTCGAATACAGTCCAGAATTGAGTCGGAAATGGAAAAATGACGAATATTGTATTTGACACTTGGATTATCTTAAATAATCGGCGCAGGTGAAGGCATAATTGATTTTTAAGTTGGGCATGGCAATTTTCAACTGCTCCCTGTGCAATAAATGAGACTCGGCAGAGAAGGTCGGCCGGTAGGTTAGAACTCGAAGGTTTGGTAAATACTCCGGGATTAAAGGCAAACTTGGGAGAATTACCCGTGATGAGATTTCGGAAAGTTTTAAGGTTTTCAATCCGGAACAGTTCTTTATGACGTGCTGCAGCGCTGATTTTCCTATATCAGAGCAGTGGAGAGATGCCGATTCCAAATTCTTCAATTTGTCGCCGATAGTCTGAAACACAGAGTCGTCCAGTAGTCTGCTGTAACAGAGTCCAAGAGTCTTGAGCTGTCCGGTTAAATGAGGTTGAGAGAGGAGATTGCACCACACGGCGGGCGAAATTTTGTCAATTTTGTACAAATTGAGGTGCTGCAAGTGTCTCAATGCCCCCAACTGCTGGAGCCACGATTCATCCACGCAGGTCCACGCGATGCGAAGATGGAAAAAGTTCAAAACCACGCAGTTTTCACTGATTCTCGGTATACGGAACGGCACATCGGGGATCCCTAACTTGAAGCTTCTCAAAGTCGGGCCCATCTTTGCGAAAAATGCCTCGAGAGTTTTTTCCGTCACCCACGCAAAAGGTCTGTACGTTGATTTTTCATAAACGAATTCTTCTAATTGAATATCACTGGAGCTAAGCACGTCCATGATCGAGCCATCAGAATCGCACTCGTGAATCTCCAACTGTTTCAAGTTCTTCAGTCTTGAAAATACGTTCGTGGCGCCGTCTAGGTTAATAGTTATCGATTTAAGTGTTAGGACCCTCAAATTGGCGAAATGATAATCGTCTAGCGGCCGAAGCCAGTCAAGTTTTAGGCGTTTGCCCACGATTTTGAGCACTTCCAACAGAGGATTATTATATTTGAGAGTTCGTAAGAATACTGACAAATCCCCTCGTCGAAAAATCTTCACCTCCTTCAGCAAGGGTGATACTCTCAGAAAGTGAACGTATACCGAACCGGGACCCTTCCGTCTTATCGTCAGACATCGATTTGATATAGAGCATCTAATTATTGACCACCACAGCTTACAAACTTGGGCTGAGCTTCGTCTGTCTTTTATAGTCAACCTTGAAAGAGACCAAAGTTATGAAACATTGTTAAATTATTCGATCATGATCTCTAAATATCATTCACAAAATTAACTGAATCGTAGTATCAACAAATCTAATCACATCAATAAAGGAGGCTGAATATTTTGGTCCTCACGCGCTTAACATTAATGGCTGTAATGGTGTAACTAATGATATCGATAAGTAAATGATCAGTACGTTTAATTATCCCCAAGAGAGATGTAAGACGAGAGTACTTGTACATGAAACTCCAGTCGCCACTCCAACAACAAACTCCAATCGCTTTTCACAAAATAACTAAAAGTTTTATGAACTCAAAAAAAAACAAACGACGAATTATTAGATTATTTTGGATAATATTCAGCGGAGAGGCTACGCCCTGTGACCGCTTCGCAGTCCAACCCCCCGAAGCGCTTCGCGTCCTAGGCGTTATAGATTACGCGTTCTACTCATGATTTTACATTAGAGAGTAGGATGATTGATGGATCTAAATGCATTCTTATGAAAGAGGCTCTGTCCTCTTGATCATGACTCATTTTGAGACAAGCCTCAACTACATTTTAGAGATCAATAAAAAAACATCGATAATTCCTCAGCAATAGTGTCAAATTAATATGAGCGATTTAATTTTTTACAGGAGAACATTTGTGTGGATTCCTCTGAAAATTTTAAGGCATTGGCTTCGTGTTATGCAGAAAATTCACTGAAATTAACACAAAAATCCGCACAACGGTTCTCATGTAAAAATTAAATTGCCCATACTTAAATTTGGGAATGGCCGATGTGGCTTGGTTCTTTTCTGCAAAACGCGGTCCAAGTGTCAAGTGGACTACATTTTGCAATTTGGAACCATAAATTCTAGCCCGGTTTAAAAACAACGTATGTGCCATTAGTTACCCTATGCACATAAGTGTTTTTCCAGAAGAGCCAGAATTTATAGTTCCTAATTGCAAAATGCGGTCCAAGTGTCACCTGGAGAAGATATTGTGTAGAATCTCGGGCGGGAGTAAGAAAATAGGGGCAGTCTGCCGGTGCTTAGTATCACTGCGGAGCCACGGTCCTCCATTGGGTTTGAATCCTTGCTCCAAGATGTTTTCAGCACGTAGTTGTCGCTCCAATCTTCGCTTCTTATACGGCGGTAGCACGTTTTTCTCATCTTCCAGACGCTGATTAGAGGGCTCCATGCCCATTCAGGCCCAGCCGGCACTTTCTTTATGCGCGGCACTCCTTCAACACAAAATACACATCACAGTTGTTGGGATATCGAGCTAAATAGACCAGATACCGATTTATAGACGAAGGTAAAAAATCATACTTAAAATAGATTTCGGTAAATTCCTAACTCTCGTATGAGGGAGAATAGCTAGCGAACTTTCTTCATGGTGTAATGCAAATATAAAATTATTGCTGTAAAATGATTGAAAAAAATCGAGCTACAAGCCAAAAATAAATTAAACAAGTAATATTTCAAACTTCCTAGAGATGAGAAATAATAAAAAACTTACAAGAAACAAAACAAACGTTTCTACCGCCAACCGTTTTGTTTCTTGTCAGTTTTTTATTATTTCTCATCTCTACGTAGTTTGAATTATTACCTGTTTGATTTATTTTCGGCTTGTTGCTCGATTTTTTTCCCAATCATTTTACCATGTTCTATGAAGCTTAGCCAGCCAAATTTGGCATTAAAATGTATAAAATTAATAATCAATTATGGGAAACTATAAAACACCGATGACCTAGGAAAAATTGAAAATCATTAAATGGGCCTGTTGCACAATAAATATAAGTACGGATAAATAAATGCAATAGTAATAGGTAACGACGCCCCCCCCCCCAAAAAAAACACGTCAAAAACTCTAGAATCAACCCCTCAACACACAATAAACTTGGCAAGAATGACGGGGTTTCGAGTTTCCTGCGTCCGTGGGCAGTTTATATATGTGCATTATGACGTGAGTCCTGTTATGCATATATTCTTATGGGTCTCAGGGTTCATTCAACTATTCTTGCTTTAGGGATGCCTTTGTCGCACACGCAAAATTGGACGTATATCTACCAAACGGAACTATGTACATCATGACGTGAGCCCTGTTACGCATATATTTTCATGGGTCTCGGGGCTCATGCCTTGATGCACATAGTTCCGTTTGACTGAAATACGTCCAATTGAAGGCGCGCGAGGTATGAACTCGTGCTACTCCGCTCTATGCTGCAAATGATGTGTCGCGCATTATCAGAATTGGGAGAAAAGTTAAAAAACGAGGCACAAATACGCCTCTCCTCTTCGTCTGTATCGTTCATGTCTACCTCGAAGAACGAAGACGCATCACAAATAAGACAAACAGAACCAATACAAAATAGAATCACGCAAAGGAACCGACGCGCGTTGACAACGGCGCAGAGATACAACTATTCGTACTTGATGGATGTCCGTGTTGCGTCTGCAAAATTGAAGGCGCGCTGGCGCGAGGCGTGAACTCGCAATGCTCCGCTTTGTGCTATGCTGCCAATAAGTTGTCGCTCTTCTTCGGGAGAAAAGTCAAAAACGCGGTCCGAATACGTCTCTCCTATCTTCTCTCTATCTACTAGCCCTTCTTCTGTTGTTTTTATGACTGAAGTTATGTTTTTTACAACTATCCCTCTTTAGTAAGTTTAAATGTTTGATAAAACACATGTATCTTATCATTTGACTAATCTTATTATTTTTCTACTTACTTTAAACTTATTATTAGTTTCAATTATGGTTACCATAATTAAGATCATAGGTTAAAATATTTAAAACAGCAGCCCGTGACAATGGTGATATCAAAAACATAGGAGAAAAAACGGCAAACAAGGCTAAATACATATATTACACATAAAAATCCGTAACGTTTATCGGCGCAAAACTGAGCCATTGTCAGTCGGAAGAATAAAAATAAAATTAAAAAAAAATATAATAAATATACATATTTGGAATTTTCATATTTTATTCTTATTCTTCCGACTGAAAATGGCTCAGTTTTGGGCCGAAGCGTCTCTGATTTTTATGTGTAATTTTTAGCCTTTTTCCCCGTTTTTTCTCCCATTTGATAATTAAGATTAAGATCCCTCAAATCGGGCTTGTTATCTTCTAATATTGGGGGTCCGTGACCCCCAAAAAGCCCCTTAATGTATGCAATACGCACTGTTCTCCACTTGAGTTCGGATCGTGTAATGCATCTAAAAAAGTTAAGTGACCGATGAAACGTTAGGATATTAGATTGCGGAGCGGAAGAGCGCGTCCGTCATGACGGAGCCGTTGGCGGTTCTCGGCGAGGCACGCAACCGCACTGATAACTCAATCCCCGCGACGGCAGCTTTCACCTCGTGATAAAATCTGACCCGCTTTCAAGTCTGACATTCAATTTCAGCCACTTTAAAGCTCCCCCACCCTCGCCTCCGCAACTCAACGAAACTTTCAGACTAACTTTTCCTTTGCATTTTCATTGTTTTTTCTCTCTTTTTCGAATGGCCACACGGAGGAAGAAAAAATAACATTCTCAATTTTCTCATTACGGTCCGCACGAAACCATGGCTCTGTCGCTTGTATTTTCTAGGCCCGTCCGTGTATAGAAAATAACGGGGGTCATGGATTCCTACGCAGAGAGAAATTTCAATACAAAAGTTTGCGCAACTTGCAAAGGTTACTGGTTTTCGCGACCTCTCGAGCTTGGTAGCAGAAAATTCAGGGGGCTGCACTGCACTGAGGATTGGCCCAACATGGCAGAAACGCGTCGGCAGTTGCCTTTCTGAACGGTCGTAACTAGAGTACCTTTATAGACAGAGTATGGCCATTCGTATCTTTTTACTACAGGAAAACTGTTCCGCTTTTTGATTGGTCAACGAGTTTTTAGGCTTCATGATGCTCTTAGGGCCGTAAATAAACAAACAAGATGGCGACTCATCGTAACATCGATAAGAAGCTAAATTTGACAAAAATTTCAATTATACGGCAGTAACAATTTAAACTAGCATGTCTACGAATAACACACGGAAAACACGTGAAAACATTGTTAAATCGCCTTTCACCTTTATCACAGGAGGATGTAAGATGTGCATAACCTCAATCTTGCTTTCTGATAACAGCCATCTTGTTTGTTTATTTACGGCCCTAAGAACATCGTGTCAGCCTATTCGCTCGCGACCAATGAAAAACCGGAACAGAAATGGCCATACTCTGTCTATAAAGGTACTCTAGTCGTAACTAGTGTCGCACCGAACAGTATATCTCTTTGAGGGAAAACTGTGCTCAAATGAGCTTTTTCCCTCTGTATTGAGATTTCAGCCTAATGCTGAATTTTTAACGCACGTTGACAAAAAACTCCAACATACTGACCAAAGTTTGGTGAATACAGGAAGTAAAACACAAAATAACCTTAGCGTAGCCTTTGGTTGACAATTGAAAGAGAAAATTCCAGCTAGTTTTCTTGAAGAAATTTTATTAGAAACGAGTTGTGAATACCAATGTCGTAATCGGAGGAATGCATTTTCCCAGTCTCTCTATCGATTTTTGAGCTAAATTCACCGCAAACTGTACCAAAATCAATCTATTTTACTTTTGTTAGATTCCTACTTCGTTTCCAAAAAAAATCTGTCTAGAAATGTGTTTGTATATTTGTTCAATAGTTAATATACAAAAAGAAAAAAAAATTGCCGATCAATGAGGTCGATCAACAAATGACGACTCTTCAACGCGCACCTTAAAGAGATGACATTTTCGTTAGGATCGGAAACAAGGACTTGCTAGTAACGAATCCGCATAGGCGAATACTGTGAGTGGCACTCATGAGGGCCGATCGAATTATTATATTTATTCGGAAAAGCACCTGAGACGGGCTCTTGCGAGAATTCACAAAACGGACGAATCGAAGCGCAAAGGCTGCTTGTTAACGCCCGCGTACAACTCCTAGAACCCATGCAAACGATTTCCTTTTCCCGGCTGGATGCTCGGAGCGAGCATAGCCGCTCCGTCATTTCCGTAACGAGTCGGTGAAGGGTCCCCTCGCGAAATATCAATATTTAAATCTGCTATTAAAATCAGATTATCAACTTTATCCTTACTCCGACGGGGGCCCGGGCGGGGGAGTTGCTCTTCAAACTTGGGCTTACTAGAATTATGGTCCGGGGCCGGGGACCCGGTCTGAGCGGGAGGACCTCGCAATTAAAACTCCGACTCATCGTCAGTCGGTAGAATTCGAGCCTTTGCCAGACTTTCCGGATGGAAAAAATCCCTCCCGAGTGAAACTTGGGCATTGCTGGCGGCGCTCGGCAAGCCTGGAAGAGACTTTCAAGTGTATTAATCCCAACTCTGGCGCCCGTGTTTTTTGTGCCAACTTATGACAATGCTATTTGACGCGGAAACAAGCTGGCTCTCGCTCCCCCCGCCCCTCCCCCTCTTCTTATTAATTGAGTTTCCCTGAGCCCCTTTTAAACAGAACAGATCAACCATAATTTGCGCATACAAATACGTACACCTTTCATCGATACGCCTAGTGCAGGCTCTTCAGAGTCCCGCTCCATTGATTGCATCCAACCACTGATTTTATTTTCCTCTCTTGTCTTCCTTAACGGATCCATGCTGCCTAGGAGTAATCCTCCAGAGTGAACCGAAACGAGAGAGTTCTTTCTGCTCCACCCACGGCTAGACTCCCATGTCAGAGTTTTTCAATTCAAAATGTTTGCGCCGTCCCGTCCTTCAATTTTTCCAACTCTCGCCGTAACTTTTTTTTTTTTTTTTTTTTTTTAAATGCTTTATTAGACATTTAGAGATACATAGACATATTGAAGATGGTACAAATTAAATACATTATTGATCTTAAGATTAAAAGAACTAATCTAATGAAGCCCCGGAACCGCCTGTGGGCATTACATCGGGGGGTTTCGCCGTAACTTTGTATGCCGCGTTTCTAATATTTTCGTAGAAATACTAAAATTCCAATACTATCTCAAAAAATAGAAAAAGTGAGGATCCAGTAGGTTGCGAGATTTATATAACTCGTAATTTTTTGCAAAGTTCAAAAACCTCTCAATATTATAAGCATTTTAACTTGGCTTTTCCTCACTACTGCGAACTGACACGTAAATTTATGACAACGGATATCAAAATATAATTTATCGTGTAAGTTTGACAACTTCGTACAGGATTATCGATGTTAATACCCCCCCTGGAGCTGGAACACGTAAAT